GGAGTCGTGTCCGCGTGTCCAACCAACCTGGTGCCTGGACCCAGCCTCGCCCCCAGGGCCCGGGGCCGGATGCCACCCCGTGTCCAGGACACCGAGCCACAGGGAGGCCGGTGAATCAGAATTCCGACTGCGCGATGGAGGCGGCTTTCTGCCCCGAATTTTTGTCTTTCTGTTCTAAAGTCACCATTGGAATAATTTTCTTACAGAACGATAGTTGCCATGACAACCAGAGCAAATTTTCCTTTTCTGAAACAGATGTCTCATTTAGTTGAAAATTAGAATGTGAGCAAACCCATGGGAAAAATTAATTCAAACTTTAACAGAGCGCTGAGTACAATGTAATCTCTCAGAGGCTAACTAACCCTCCACAGCCTTCCGCACTCCGTGTCACCTTCCGACGCGGCTAATTAAGCCGCTTAGCCAATATAAACGACCTCCTCGCGGCCAACCATGCGCCCCCCACCCCCGCCCGCAGCGTGAATTCCGGGTTCCCGACGGAGGGGGTGCCGGTCTACAGAACGCGGCTGAAGCAGCCCTGCTATGTCACCTCCCGGGAAGGCGCACAGCTCCTGCGCCAGCGGATGTACCACGGGCCCCTTCAATTAGCCTGGGGTACGGCCACCCCACTCCTCGGGGACTGGGATGTGGGGGTGGAGGAGGCCCAGGGTGCCCATGGTGGGGGGCCCAGTGGTACACCCTGATGAGGGTCTGGTGACCAGAGAGTGGAGTGTGGGGCTCCCTTGGCAGGATACCAAGGGGCACCTCCCTGCACAGCCCCAACCCCACATCCAGGGAGGCAAGTGCCATCACTGCCCATTTCACAGATGTGGAGACTGAGGTACAGAGACGCCCAGAGGGTTACGTGCCGGGATTACCTGGGGACCGGGTGACAGAGCCGGGGCCAGCCCCCGACACAGACCCCAGAGCCTGTGCCCTCGGCTTCACCCCAGAGCTATGAACGCAGGACCAGATCCCACCCCCTCCTCGGCCGAGCCCCTCAGCACAGCGCCACCCCTAGCTCGCTGTCCCCGGGACGCCGCTGAGGAAGGCCCCACGACAGGCGAGGACACGGGACCAGAGAAGTCGAGCATGTGCCTGAGGACACACAGGACAAGGGGGCCTGGACCAGGGTTCCTGCTCCTGCCCCTGTGCCCGCGGCCAGCAGCACGAAGAGGACCCCGATGCGTGGCCAGGCAGCTGCCGGCCCTGAGCCTCAGCCTGCGGCCCCTCCGAGCCTGGCTGGACACTCCGGCTCCTCCTGCCTCTCAACTGCTGCCCCGGTGGCTCCTTGGCCCACAGCTTTCAGGGCTCCCGGGGCCAGGCCCCAGCCCACCCTTTGGGCCCCCTGCTCAGGTTCCCTGCTGAGCCCCTCCCCCGTCAGACACGACAGCCCACCCCTGGCTCCTGCACAGCCCAGCCTCTCCCGCCTCCAGGGTTTTGGTGTCTCCCCATCCGAACGCCCCTCCTCGCCTCCCCTCGGAGCCCACCATGGGTACTTGCTGAGGCCTGGCTCGGGGGCCACCTCTTCCAGGAAGCCTCCCCGATCACCTGCACCCCCAGCACAGGTGGCCCTGCCATTCCCTCAGGGCAGACCCAGGCCCCACCTCTCCTGCCCCAGACGAGCCTAGAAGGGCTCCAGAGCGGGGTTTGTGCCAGGTGAGCGTGAACGAACGAACAGATGGAGCGGCCCCCAGGGGCTCTGCCTGGCTGCCCGGCCCGTGGGACGAAGCATGACCCTCTCCTCTCTGCACCCTCCCCAGAGCCGCCGGAGTCACGGAGCCCGAAGGCCTGCAGCCGGAACAAGAATCCGAGAACTGCCCTCCGCTGAGCATCCGTTCTC